ACTTACCTTAAACACAGGTTAAGGAATATAGTTGTTATATTTTAGTGTGCATCTGGGTAGTTAAGCTGTCTTGATAAAAAAAAAAGCAGGTGTAGTCAGTCTGCTGAAGGTTGTTTTTTGAGAGGCATGTGAAAGTGTGTCACATTTAGTGTAAAATTTGGGAGGGGGTAAGGAAAACTATGTGGGCTAATAAGCGGAGTCTAGCTTCTAACGTATTTTCTTTAGTGGCTGTCAACCAAAGAAAAATGATTGAAGATGCTGGCAAGTTATTTTAGGACACCGTGGCGGAACAAGCATGACTGATAATAAATTACATACTTTCATTGTTTCCACGGGCGACTATGCTGGTTTTCTCTTTGTTTTTTCATTCGAAAAATTGTGTGGTGGGAATGATTTGATTGTACTTATCGTATTTTACGATGAGAGTCTAGAAGCTAGTTGAGCAAGTTACTGACCGTGTTATGTGATCTTCCTGTTTTAACTCTGTAACTACTAAGGGCATCCATCTATATAGATTACCTAACTTTTTTTGAAACACATTTTTCGAAGATATTTATGCATTAAATTGTTTGTGGATCTATAACGTAACTGCCATCAACACAGTTAATACCACTACTTATTGTTGAGATTATCTTTAGACCGATCATTTTTTTTGGCAGTTAAAAAACGCATAATATGATGCAATATGTGGACCTCACTGTTTGTGACTGGTGTAAAACAAGTCGGTAACTTGAAAGCTAACTCAGTGGCCTTTTTCTTTAGTGATGGCAAGATGACCTATATTACTAGTTTCGAAGTCTCATATCTTATCGATCTTAAAATGTTACGTTAAGATATTTTAATATTTAGACATAAAAGTCTTTTGTTTTCAGGAAATTTTGAATTCACACTTGTGTTAAGTTTCATGATCCATTCATTATTATGAGTTTAAATATTCGATTACTCTACTAAAGTTATTTTTTTTATATCTGGGAGTTTTATAAAATAATTTCGAGTTTCAAGTTAACCTGTCCAATTTTATCTTTTTTTTTATCCTTCAATGTGTCGTTGGTGCGTCACATGAAAGGGAGACAGCACAATACTGGTGACTGGTCAGTAAGTTCCACCTGTACTGAGCTACTGGTTGTGAAAGTGGTACTTATGAGTTTCTCTTACAATTTCGTTGTATATAAATTATAACTATGACCTTAAGTATCTCTGGTTGTAACTCACTCGGTCAACATGCTGCAGTTATTTTTATAATATGAAACAGTAAAGGTGTATGAACAGCAGGGTAAAGCTTCAACTTGCGTCATTTGTGTATGTGTGTGTGTGTAACTTTTAGGATTTGCTTTGGCAGTACTATTACATATATTTCGACTAAATTATTTCCACATGTCTGCCTACAATGAGTTATGTGAGGAAGTATCGTGTATTGACTAAAGAAAATTAGAACAAACACAACAGTGGAACACCTTTCTTTCTGATAAATTTTATTTTGAAGGATGTTTTTATTGTAGTATAAGAATTAGCACTTTCTCCCGTCCCATGGACTATTTCTCAACGTGCTTAAGCATGACCGTTCAGTTTTTAACTAATTAACTAAAGCCGATAAGCAACGGGTAATGTTGATGATTCTGTAATTGGTGTATTAGAAGTAACATTGATAATAATTGGTGTGTTAGAAGTAACACTGATGATTCTCTAATTGGTGTATTAGAAGTAACATTGATAATAATTGGTGTGTTAGAAGTAACATTGATAATAATTGGTGTGTTAGAAGTAACACTGATGATTCTCTAATTGGTGTGTTAGAAGTAACACTGATGATTCTCTAATTAGCGTATTAGAAGTAACATTGACAGTTGGTGTGTTAGAAGTACGGTAACCGAAGACAGTTCAACACGAATGATGTTTCTGCAAACTACAAATTCGCACGCATGAGAACGTACGTGTAGAAGTATACGCTGTTACTACCACAAATCGTGCATGAGACTACAATTTTTAGGCATTAAACATATTATAATTATACCTAGCCTGTCAGATATAATTTCCTTTCGAGCTGTTCAAAACGTGTCATCTCATAATCTAACCGCCTAAAAAAGTTGGCTTTATACGCTCCATACTGTCCACCTTATACAGCCAAGAACAGCCTTTTATTGTTTAAAAAACCCTAGTCTGTCAGATATAATTTCCGCTTCGAGCCGTTCAAAACGGGTCATCTCCTTATGTATCCGTCTAAAAAAGGGCTCCATACATTCCACATTGACCACTCTGTAGGGCGAGGAAAAGCTTTTTATTGTTTAATGTAAGCACGCAAAATACCTAATCAATGTTTGCAAATAAAAATACGCCGGAGTTGCGACGCTTTGAAGAATAATAAACCTGTCTCGTTCGTGTGTTAACCAAAGTCTTACTTTACGGGATTTTTAAAAGAGCAGTGCGAATCAATTAGCTGCTATTTCTCGTTGCACAGACATTCATTTGTGTGTAGTTTTATTCGTTTTCAGAATATTAACAAGTTCGACAAAACATCATGTTTCAAATTGGTGTTGCTAAGCAACTTCAGGTGCAAATCTTCCGATATTAAGTGTTGTTTGGAATAGTGTAGTTGTAGTAGAAGAAAAAACAGAAGATTACTTAGTCGTATTTGCTAATGTTCATCAATTATTAGTTAGTTGAATTAGTATAACTTTCTAAAAAGCGGGCGGTGGCCGTGTTATAGTAGGAGGTAGTGTTTTTCTCTATTTATTAATTAATTTCTGATAATTTCTGCAAAATACAGCAGCGATTACAATAGCATCTTTTCTTGTCTTGAGAGAAATGGCGTTGAGGGAAAGGGAAGCATAGTGACCTCATTGTATATAACTGTCAAGAAGTAACCTAAATAGCTAGGCTACATAGGCTAGTAGGATGCTTTAACATTTTGGAGTGTTTTACACAGATACTTGAAACAGGTTGTGTGTATCGGGGGGGGGGAGGTAACTTTTGAGGATGTATCGTTAAAATGTGGGCTTGTGACCACTTCTGTTGAGTAAACTTGATAAAAATATATAGTTGTGTTAAATGATAAAAATTGATGCATATACGTACATTGTTTATATATTTGTTTTTGTAAATGTTTTTTTACCTTGTCATTTGCAGAGCAGCACGCCCCCCCCCCCCAAATGTAAATGTGACACATTAGACATTAGAAATATTTACTCACTGGTGTTTCGTTATTTTTATTACCGATATTGTCCTAGTGGTCCTGCAATAACACGAAGTTGAAACATTTAACAGTGTACATATGCTTGCCAGTTTCTAAAGTACAAAATAAAATGAACCTAGATTTTTTTATTAATTATTGGGGGGCAGTAACTTATAAGTTTTATATTTCTAACAAATCTTTACACATGCTACTTTGAAATGTACAATTTGTGAACAAGTCTTGTAAAGTATTGTTGCGTCAGCGAGGTCACGTGACTAGTATCACGCCACTTGTTTCTCGAACCTTCGTGAATTGTCGGGATATTACTAGATTGGGGGTAGGCTGGTATATATAAGATGGTCACAACGTGACGGGACAATGTGTAGGTAATGAGTAATTGAACTGCAGTCAGAGAGTGTGTAATTGAGTATTGTCGAGCACGTGAGACGTTCTAGCGTTTGTTATAGAGCGACTGTTGAAATTAAGTGTATCGGTAAAGTTGTATTCGGAAAGAATAAACCAGTTTTATTTAAGAAAGGACTTGTATCGCTAAAGTTTCGTCGGAAAGAATTTACGGAAAATTAAGTAACGACTGGAGGCGTAACAGTATCAAATATCGACGTCACTACCAGGGAACGAAGAATCAGATTTTTTTATTTTGTATACCGCAGTACAAACTTTACAAAATATTAAGCACTATTAAAAGAATGTTTGGCAAATAAGTATCTCAATCTCAGAATACAAACACCAATATTCGAAAAATACATAAAAAGTAACGTTGTTAATATCAAAATATAATAATGGTGGCATTAATAACAGATCAGGAAAAAGGACCGAGAAAAGGCCTAATTCATAATATTATTTACAGTAATAGTATTAGGCGTTTTAAAAAGAACTAACGTCAGACCACACATATGAGATCAAGAAAGTATTTGCGATAATATTGTTTAACAAGTTGAACATCTTACATATCACCGTTTCACAAATCTCTAACCTAACACCCCTCTCTATCATCGGTCTATCTTTAAGTCTTGAGGCTTTTCATTGTCATGCCAGACCACAATATTGCTTGTCACATGACTAACTGCTTAGCATTTGCTTTACGAAATTAATCACGAACTTAGTATCCACATGTCACCATTAATGGTGTCTTAATATAAAAAAATACTTCTTTAATATTTAATTCTCGCTAGGTGGCAGGTGAGTTAGCGTTGAAGGTTTTGTTTGCTTAAAGCAAAAACTACATAATGAGTTATCTGTGCTCTACCCTCTACGGGTATTGAGACCTGATATTTAGCTTTCTAAGCTCTCAGACTTATCGCTGAACCACCGGCAGGCACGTTTAAATCAAATAGAAATATTGCTTAACTGAACTGTTGAGGGAAAAATGCATAAACGATAGAAAAATCCTCCCATGCCGCGCCTTTACAAGACACTTGAGGCCGATCTTCCGTTCCAATGACACAAGTGGATGAGAATGTAACCCATTCCTCCTGGACGAGATGCCAGTCCATCACAGGTTAAACATAAACCCCTCCCCAGCTGACAGCTGGGTAGTCTGGAACAAGTGGGATGAAGTACTTTGCTCACAATAGTGTGATGTAGGCCAACTTCAAACTGACCATCAACTAAAAGCCCAAAGTGTAAATCTGCTGAGCTATACATCAATTCCAACAATGATCTTGGGACAAGGCCTACTACATCATGATAAACAAAATCATAATTAGGAATAGAATAAAAATTGCTACCTCACAGTTGCATTTTCACTCTCTAAATTTAAGTGTTAAAAATCTCTGACTTCCATACTCTTTTTTTTTTTTTTTTCTTCTAGGCTAATGGAAAAGAGGGACACTGTGTTTGGTATGGAACATGTGGACAGAATGAGTATGGAAAGGATCTTCCATGCCTTTATGAGGGGCCTCCTAAACCGTTAACTGACAATGAGACAGTTGCTGCTCTAAAGAAAATATGTCCTGAATTAGTTCCAGGTTAGAAATAATTCACATTTCATATAAACACTTTTAAAATGGTTCCTTGTAGAGGGTTTAAGGTTTATTCAAACTACTTGTCAATATATATTTTATTTAAAAAAAAAGGTGAGAATGAAGAATATAAATGAAAGAACTTCTTATGCTAGTTAAACTAACATTCTCCAAACCAGGTAGACATTAAATGCTAAAACGTGTAAATGGGAAAAATATTGTTTGAATCATCATCTTAACCTGTTTTATTCATTTAATGAAAAAAGTTCTTTTTAATGCCTAAATATCTGTATATAATTACTTCTGTTAAACAATTTTTTGAGCTCTTAAAAATCTTGTCATTTAAATGTTTTTACTCTTTTTTTTTTTTCAAAATGATTGTTCATTTTCTTTCATATTTTATTTCTTATAAGATCACAAGTATGAATAATTAATAATATTAGCATGTTGTAAAACTATTTTGCATATAAGGTGTACTTGTGTTTTCCAGATGGACAAGATGAACCACATGTCTGTTGTAACGAGGACCAGATTGAGAATCTCATTGTGAACATGAGAACTCCTGAGGCTCTTGGCTTTGGCAGATGTCCATCCTGTATAAGTAACTTCCGAAAAACTTTTTGTCAGTCCACCTGTTCACCCAAACAGAACCTGTTTCTTAAAGTAATAAGTTCAGAGAAAAGTCCAAAAGATGGGGAGAGAATAACTGGTCTTCAGTATTTCATGTCCAAGAGGTAAGAAAGAATTTCAGCTGTTAGTAGGGGACAGTCCTTAGTTGCTTAATACATTATATATGTATGTTTTGGAATAGTTTTTTTTTATTAAATTAATAACTGTAATGTTCAATATTATTGAGTTGAATAAGATGTTTCCAGTTGTTGAGCCTCCTACTCGGAAATACTACAATTTTCTTTAAGTTTAGATATTACTATAATTCTTCTTTAACATTAAAGTTTCTTTGCAAAATAACCTTTAAGAATTAGGTAAAAAAATATAATTCAGAAATAAAAATAAACATGTTTTGTGTGCTGATTTCTTTATGTTCTTATTGGTGGAAGGTTTGCTGATGGACTGTTTGCATCATGTAAGGATGTAGAAGGCCTTGTTCCAGGATCACCATTACTGGAATTGATGTGTGGCATCTGGGGACCAGAGTGCACTGCCCAGCGATGGTTAGACTTCATGGGATCCACTCCTTCTGCAGGTGGTTTTTCTCCTTTTCAGATCTTGTTCAATATCACAGAGAAGCCTACTGTTACAGTGGATGATAAGACCTTTACTCCCATGAATGAGCCAACATTAAAGTAAGAACTGCATTTTTGTTGTTGTTGTTGTTTTTTTCAGTTCTTCTTTGCTATGAATTAAAAAATTAGTTTGTACCATAATAGTTAAAACTTATTTTGGTAGGTATGTAAGGTAGTCACTGTGTTTTTTCTGGGTAATGATATTTTTTTAATAAAAGAAATGCTGAAATAAAAAAAAAGTCAAGCACAATGGCTTTAATTTAATTATTCACTTAATTTTTTTGTCACTTATGTTTTCTGGTGGTTTGTCCATTCTCCCAATGCTTTTTTTTTCACCACTGTTTGTTTGTTGGATATTTGTAGGTGGTTCATATATGAGTTTTGCTTCATCAGGTTCAATTGTAACATTTACACTTATGTGTTGGAAATCTTTCAGATGTTCTGAAGCTGTCTATTTGGGTGGTTATGCTTGTTCCTGCCGAGACTGTAAAGATTCTTGTTCAGTAGAAACCTTAGCTTTTGAAGTCCCTGAGGAAAAGGAACCTTGGAAAATCATTGGGCAAGATGGAATGGTTGTCCTAATGAGCATCATTTTTGCTGTTTTAGCATTAGTAATCTTTGTGGGCTATGTATACACATGTAATAAGGAGGAGAAATTTGTATGTAAGTATGAGGAATATAACCTTTCAAAGTATGTGGTTTACCACAAAGGCTTAAAATATGTAATACTTCAACCACAATTTTCAATCCATAGGCTTATTTCATTGATCTTGCTATCTCTTCAATGTTATGTGATGTGTTGTTTTTCTTAATGTCTATTTTATGTTGTTATGAAAAAGGTCATTTTTTGATTCAGTATGTTTTTGAGTTTCTCTTTTAATATTATGTTTCTAGAGTGAAAAATAGTGTGTTGCAGCTGTTTATTTTTAATAGTTTTTGCCTCTCTTTCAGAAGAATCAAGTGTGTATTATGTATTTTATTGAAATGACACATATTCAAGGTGTTAGCAGCTTGTTCAAGTAAGGTTCCAATTGAAATTTTCTTGAGTCAGTTACATGTCACTGTTCTGCAACAAGCTAGTTATTTCTGTTTTTCCTAGAAGCATATGCATTATTTTTGTTATAAGGTGGTGCTGGGGAAGTATTTGTTCACACTTCCCGAGGACTTGTTCATATGAATCCCCATGCTATCACAGCCACAGGTGTGGATCTTGGCTCCCTTGAAGAAGTGGAACCTCTCCGTTCCAAATGGTCAAGTATGTGAAACTGTTTCCAAGATCAATATGATGCATTATCCTTTTGTACACTAATTGGTGATTGGTATACATTGCTTATCTTTGCTTTGGGTCACTCTCATGCATCTTTCAATCTAATGTTATATCAGTGTATTGTAAAAAATATATCTAAAGTGTCTTACAATATGTACCATTTAAAAAAGGAACTGTTTTGCAGAGTTGTTCAATTTGTGTCGCTACTTTTGTAGATCCTTGTGTTTACTTTGTAGAAGTTTGTTGATACTATGTTATAAACTGAACCCACAAAAAAAATAATAACATTTTGAGAATGATTTCAGTGTAATTCTTTCCCCTTTTTGTGTTGTAGTATATTACAAATAAATCAAGTTAATTATAAGTACAGTATTTCAATGAATATAGACAAAAACAAGACAATATCAATAATTTCTCGAGAGTCATTTATTGTTTAGGTTATTATAAAATAAAATACTTCCAAAACCCGTGAATTTTAGTAGCAAGGCATAAACACTTTCAACTAATTGTAATTTTTGTCATCTTTAGTTAGAAGCTACTGTTTTTCTTTTTTACATTTCTTGATTGGTTCTCTCTCATTAATTTATTAAACTATGAGTAATAAAACTTATGAAGCTATATTCTTATACAGTAGCAGGATAAAATCTTGTTATACACACAAATATATACATAAATGACTAAAAAATCTATCTAGTTTACTCTTTGACTCTTGAATAATTAAGAAAATTGGTGGTTGAAATATGGAGGCAGACCAAGAGTAATTTCTAATTTCATCTTTATATTTATTTAATTTTTTAGTAAAATTTGATCAAACAAGTCCTGTTGTTTTGTGATTTTTTGTATGTAGTTTAAAATACAGTTTCGATATTCTGGAAAAAAGGTTAAAAAATTAGATAATTGGGTGCTTTTTGAAGGTAGACTTTTGTTCTTCAGAAATCAGAAAGAAGAAGAAAAATCCACCTTCCAAAGAGTTTTGTTAATGGGTAGGTTAAAGTGTGAGTAGTAGTCTACAGTACTTCCATAGTTAGGTTAAAGTGTGAGTAGTAGTCTACAGTACTTCCATAGTTAGGTTAAAGTGTGAGTAGTAGTCTACAGTACTTCCATAGTTAGGTTAAAGTGTGAGTAATTGTCTACAGTACTTCCATAGTTAGGTTAAAGTGTGAGTAATTGTCTACAGTACTTCCATAGTTAGGTTAAAGAGTGAGTAGTTGTCTACAGTACTTCCATAGTTAGGTTAAAGAGTGAGTAGTTGTCTACAGTACTTCCATAGTTAGGTTAAAGAGTGAGTAGTTGTCTACAGTACTTCCATAGTTAGGTTAAAGAGTGAGTAGTTGTCTACAGTACTTCCATAGTTAGGTTAAAGAGTGAGTAGTAGTCTACAGTACTTCCATAGTTAGGTTAAAGAGTGAGTAGTAGTCTACAGTACTTCCATAGTTAGGTTAAAGTGTGAGTAGTAGTCTACAGTACTTCCATAGTTAGGTTAAAGTGTGAGTAGTAGTCTACAGTACTTCCATAGTTAGGTTAAAGTGTGAGTAGTAGTCTACAGTACTTCCATAGTTAGGTTAAAGTTGAGTAGTAGTCTACAGTACTTCCATAGTTAGGTTAAAGTGTGAGTAGTACTCTTTAGTACTTACATTTAATGGTTATGCATGACAGTGCATAAGCTATAAAACTTGTTTTGGCTATAACTTTAATGAGAAAGTTAGTTTTTTATAAGAATCGTAACATAAAAATAATTTTCTTTTAAGATAAAAGAGTGATATGTAAATGAACATTCCACTTACTCTTCAAGTGTCCAGATGAAATTGTTTATGAATAAACTGTGTGACTGCTTATATATGTATGATGTTTAGAGCTACATCATTTTTACCACAGTGAACCTATGTTTTTATAGGATTTAATGAATATGTAGCATTGATGCTGCTAATTTATTCTTAATGAATATTCAGCATACCAGCTGTTTTCTGTTGAATAATTCACAAGAATAGATTAGTAGCATCAATGCTATATATTCTTCAAATCCTAAATAAATATAGGTTCACAGATGAGTAAAAGACAACTCCAAACACTGTGCATATGGCATACGCTCCACCACTGTATGAAGCCTTGTGTTATTCTTGTAATTTGCCTCTCTTCAGAGTTACTGATGAAAGATGGAATTTTGCAAAACTGGTATAACTTAGTAATAGGTGGTAAATTAAATGATAGATTGGGTTTCATACTTATTTTTAGTGTGACTGTTTAGTGTTTAGGGATATTTTGCATGTGCGTCTTATCTCTCAGTACTCAGCAATAAATGTGTGTTTTATGTTATTAATCCTTGGCATGAATTACATGAAAGCTCTTTACTGCCTACAGGCAACAACTTTCTTCTATTTAGGCATTGGATTGTGTGCATTAAGTACACATACTCTTCTTTAGTGTTTTCCATTCAACTTTCTCATTTTTTTCATTTTTTATCTATTCTCTTATTAACTGTTATAATTGGAATCAAATGCACATCACTTCATTTACTCCACCAAACTTCTCAACCTGCTACACCAAAATATAATACCTTTTCTTTTATGTCTTGTATTGGCTTCTTTTGACTGAAAGCAAAGCTACCCTTTTGTACTTCAGTTTCTACATCTAATATTTCTTGCTTGTCTACTGTAGCAAATATTAATTTTCATCTCATGAATGAGGTGAAACTTGTATAACCACCCCACCATCAAGGGAGCCAAGGCGTGGTTCAACTGTAGCCTCAATTTCTTCAAATCTTCAGGATGGTGATCTACCACCTTCTTGGATATGTTGGAGACCCACCATTTTAACATCTTTTTATTTTTCTTGTAGCTGATGTAATGTGCTGTAAATATCTTCAATTTGCAGATAATTGCACGTGGCTTTTTTTTTCTCATACAAAAATTGCTTTTGGCTGTTTTTTTGATAACCTGATTAGCAAAAGTACTATGAAGTGGATGTTTTTATATTTCAATTAGTTAAACAAAATAAATATCGATAATAGTGTTGTTGAAATGATTTAAACTATTATATATAAGAGAAAAATGAATGAATTAATTTATGATGTTGTAAGGTAACAACTTCTTATATTTTAAATCATGATCCATAGTATATCTATTTCTTATTATCATTGTGTGGTCAGTGATTACTTATTAATATGTATATCTGTAACAATGTAGACTGTTATGACCTTATGCGTCATTCCTTTACATAATTTAATGAACTTCCATTTCTAAATGATTATGTTAGTTTTATTCCATCTTCCTGACATAAATACATAATTTCTTACTCTTCTAGTATTAATTATGTTAGGTTTAATGCCAAGACATTTAACTTTAGTGAAATATTTGAAAATTTGAGGTCAGCTCATTTTGAAAGAAAATTGGTAAGAAATATATTATATTGATTTTAGTAACCTGACTTTCTAATGTTTATGGCTGACAATTCACTAAGATAACATACAAATGTGATAAAAAATTAAGATATTATCTGTAGGTACAGATTCTTTTCATCCTATACAAATTTGCCAAAAAATCTTCTCATTCTCTGTACATTCTTTAAACAAATGCTTCCCATCTTGTATATTTGTGTTTCAAAGTTATGATTCATATTTGTATATCTTGGGTTTGTGGCATCTGTTTTTATATAAATTCTTCCAAAGTGTTCAGCATATTATTAAATAAAATGCTTATTATGTAATTTTTTTGTGTGTTTAAGAGATTTTACCAGAGTAATGAAAATACATTAGGATTCATTAAGATTTTATATAGCTCAAATTGCTGTTTTTTTTGATAAAAAGATTTTAGAAAACTAGTGTATTATTCTTTATCAGTAGATTCATCACAACGTCATTCTGGTGATAATTGCATCTCTGCATCCTCCACAATAAGTAGTTTCAGTCAGCATGAGGATAAAGTCAAAACCAACAGCACTCCTGAAAACCAAATCTCTGATGACATATCTTGTTTTGAAAAACTTGGAGCAATCACAGAACGAATATTGGAATCTCTGTTTTCCAGATGGGGAATGTTTGTTGCAAATCATCCACTGTCTGTCATATTTTTGGCTCTTATAGTGAGCTTACTGCTTGGTCTGGGGTTAGTTTTCAGTTTCAAAGTTACCACTGATCCCGTTGATCTGTGGGTGTCGCATAACAGTCAGGCACGGAAAGATATGGAGTACTTCAACAAACACTTTGGGTGAGTGTTGTTAGTGTTAATGTTGTTTCACATTGCTTTTAGGTTTTTACTGTAACATACCTGACTCTTGTTTGATAAATGAGAAGTCAGAATTTTTCCTTGCTTGTTAAACATTAGAATTTTGATATCTGTTGTTTTTTGTAGTCTTTTACTGCTTCTTTTTATTACATTGTCAAGAAATCAATGTCACTATTTTTTAGATGAAAAAACCCAAACAACTTGTATATCAAACAAAACATTTACTAAATGAAATAGTCTCAATTGTTATCAATGATGCTTTTCCATCTCACAATCAGGTTGTTAATGCTCTGATTAAAGAAATCACTTGACTTTGAACCAAAAACATATTGATGTCCTCTTTAACACATTACATATTTGTATACGTTTTCCCATTAAGATGGTGTTGTAGCAAACGAAAAAGATGGTAATCTGATAGTTCCATATCTGGAGAGTATGGTGGATGAGGGAAAATTTCTCAACCCAACTCCATAATCTTGTGTTGCGTCAAATGCGCCACATATGAACGTACATTGTCATGGAGAAGAACACCTTTCCGATGGACGAGTGAAGGGCGTTTCTGATAAAGGGCTTGATTTAAACTTTCCAGTTGCTGACTATAGATCTCTCTCTGCATTCATAGTTTGCTGTGGATTGAAGAGTTCAAAATGAATTACTCCTTCTTTGATGTCCCACAAAATGCAAAGCATCACTTTCTGTGGATGGAGTCCAGGTTTTGGGGTCAGAAGTGGTTTTTGTCTAGGACTAAACCATTGTTTTTGGTTTTTAATATTTGCATAGAGAATCCATCTTTCATCACTGGTGATAATTCTGTCCAAAAATGGTTCACGCGCATTACACACCAGAAGAGACAAAGCAACGTTCACACTTTGGAAACAATGATCATCAGAGTGTTCGTGAGGCATCCAAACACCTTTATGAAGTCTTCCCATATTCCTTAGATGTTTACGTGTTGTTTCATGAGAGACATGCAATTTCAAGGCCATTTCTTGAGTATGTTGCCTTGGGTTAGACTAAACAGGCATCTTCAGAGCATCAATATCAATTCCAACATGTTGGCCCTTGCCATCACAGTTTTTAAGGCTAAAGTCACCTGAATGAAATCTGCTGAACCATCGTAGACACTTACGAACGTTCAAAACATTTCCATAAACTTTGATATTCTTTATAGCTACAGAGGTGTTGTTTCCCTTTTTGTATTCAAACAGCATTACATGCCGATTGTGTGTCTTGTGTGTGCCACCACTATAAGGGATTAGAGCAAACTAAAGTTTACACATTATATAGGCTGTACTAAGGTAACGTTTAGGTGGTTTGTTTAACTATTATACATGATATACATTTTTTGGGGGGTGATTAATGAAAGTGTTCCAAAATGGGACATTAATTTCTTGACGACCTAATAGTTTAAATTTATATAATTTGTTTTTACAAAAAAAGATGTACTTTCCAGTTTGTGAAAAAAGTTTTTGACTTTAAAACATGGATTATCTCTAATTAGAAAATTATAAGGCATAATATATTTGAGTTGTTGAAATAATTTTTTAATGTTTTTGTTAAAATTACTTCATAAATAAATAAATATATATATATAATGCTTAAAAAGTCTTTTTTTTCTTGGTTTGTGGAGGAATAATAATCTAATCAAGTATGTTATATGTACAGTCCTTTTTACCGTGTGGAACAAATCATCATAACGCCTACAAACAACGAATCTTTTGTAGCAGAAGCAGACAAAGATGGTATTTCTAACTACACCTGGGGACCTGTGTTTAGGAAAGAATTCCTCCTTGAAGTGAGTTTGAACTTGATAGTTATTAAGTTCATTAAAAAAAAACCATTCCTGTCACCTAAGGTTACTCATTTTGTTTTTCCTCCTCCCACAATTACTCAAAAGATGCTATTCTCTATCAAACTTGGTATGTAGGGGAATACATTAGGAAAATAAAGTTTTCTATTTGCCATTTTTTTGTCACTGTGATATGATAAATAATTAAATTTGCAGATGTAATTTGTCATTTTCTTCAATTTTTTCAATTAGTTTTAGACAGCGTAAAAATATTGGTGAGACATGGAGGATCATCTTGCTTACATTTGCAGTAATGTATAGATATGTTTTATTTCATAGTTTTACTTTTATATTACACAGTACACATGTCAAGTGTAGTCTAATATACTAGCTCCAGTTCACAAAATAATGCACTGTTAAAAATGGCAACAAATATTATATTATTAAGAAACTTTTGTTAGTGGGTGTGTACAGTATTAAATTATGAGTTTACTCCACATTGTTCACCTCATTAATAATGCATTCAGCACATGGAAAAGTTTTAATTTAATGCACTGTTATTCATTGTAATTTAAAAGAAACTGGATGAATCATCAGACTAAAAGTATGGCTCAATGAATTTACATCAACTTCTAATTGGTGTTAGTATACTGTTAGGTTCTTCTACTGCAGGAAAAAAATTTAATTGTTGATATTATGAATGTAGTTTTGTTTGAGAGACAAACTATGAACATGTGCCAAATTGTCAAATTGGGCTTTATAATTATCTGCATTTGTACAAAAGCTGGAATTTTTGCTGTTTTTTCTGAAAATCAGTAAAACCTTATTTAGAAAGAGAATAATTACAAAGGTTTATAACATCTTAGAAGAATATGTCATCTCAGTTTTGAAGGCTTATAATACAAATGATTTAGGAAAAAGGTTAAAATATAGAATACATTTTAAAGGAAATTGTAGTCATTCACTTCATTTTGATGTATTTGGTTTCTTTTTAATAAACAAAACCTGGTCAAAGCATAATTAGATAAATTTTTGCAGTATCACTGTCTATAATTTTGGCAACACAATTTTAATTCACAATTAATATTATTCAGAAAACCTAAATAATATAAAATGTAAAACACCTCACGTTTAAAATCCCACGTATTTTAAATGAACCAGTTATTCATCAGGTTTTATTATATATTATGTAATCCTATATTAATGTAACACCATCATTGTTTATTTATTAAGAGCATTAACATTTTTCTTTGTAATAAATTATATTTGCCATATGATGTTTCAGAAATAACTAAAATAATTTGTATTTTATTAAAGCAACACAAGACAGCCTTTATATACTGACAGTAATAAAAATCTTCAATACTAAATATATTTTTATTTCTTGGAACCAGTCTAAGTTTTTTAGGAAATATAAACGTAATAAATTTATTAAACTGGATTCTAGCAGTTGTGGAAGATATCTTACTCAGTTGTTTGGAGAAATATTCTTGTCATAATGTTTCAATTATTTTCTTCCAGGTTCTAGACTTACAGAGGAAAGTAGAAAGCCTGGTGATCAGTAAAGATGGTAAAAACATATCTTTACCTGACATCTGTCTTGCTCCCTTAGCTCCAGAAAACAAAGCCTGTGTTGTACAAAGTGTATTTGCATACTTTCACTCTTTCTTCAAAAGTGGTGAAGCATCCCTACCTGATAATTACCTGTCACATATACTAGATTGTACTAGGTGAGTATAGTATATTTTAATGGTTGTACTAAAGTTTTTCTTCTTGTTTCTCTTCAATAATTTTGATATAGTATTTTGAAATACAGACCCTCAATGCTAATTATAAAGTAAAACCATAAGTATTCTCCTTACTTCAAGCCAAGCTTCTCAACATAAGCAGGTGTGTTTGTGAAAGAAAGATCTTTTAAAAAGTAATTAAATATCGATTTTAATGACCTTATAAACCATTAGATTGGAGAAGGAGTCTGTGTAATGAATTAGTCTACTACAGAGAAAGGAGAAAACTAAACCATAAATATTTCCTTCCTTGTGTTGCATATTAAAGCAGGTTTTAAAGCTCAGTTAAAGTTAGCCAGTTAATGTTGTGCCAGATGTTAAAAATGTTTTTATTAACTTAAAGTAACGGATACCAGTTCCATTGTCTTGCACCATATGGTGGACCTCTGATACCTCCTGCAGTTGCTTTTGGTGGGTTTGAGAATAATACTCTGCACACAGCATCAGCCCTTGTCATCACTTTCCCTGTGAACAACTATAATGATCCAGACCTGAACAAGGATGCATTAGCATGGGAAAACCTGTAAGTTGTATTCTTTATTGAAAATTGTTTAAATAAACTAGTGGCACATTGTTTGGTAACAACCTCTACTTTCACAAATATGTAAAAGTTGATTTAAAATAATTGTATAATTTGGATTCATGTAGTTTTTAATTATGTTTAAGCTACATTATGTCTATATGAAAAACTTGTTAGGCTTAATTCATATAATAAAGATATAGCATTTTTGTTAAATCTTTTTTTAAATTTTGTTCTGTGATTTTATTTAGTTATTAATACTTTGTCATTGTATAATTTTAAGTCATTATGACAACAGCTGTATTTTTTCTTTGGAGGCTATGAGATTTTAATGCCGTATTGCTATTTTATACATAAGTGTATGATATGTTTTGTATAGCAATTGTAGTAGTGTCATTCAACACCAAATCATGATAAAATTTCAGGTCTTTTGGTCATGTAGTTTCCAAGATACTGGTCACCAAAGCTTGACTTGTTTCTCCCAACTGTCAAAATTTAGCTAGTGATATTTTCAGTTTTAATTGATCTATTAAGATAATTATTATACCATCTTGAAGCTCTTTTTAAAGAACAGTACTTTTTATTTCCAAGTAAAAGTCTAAATCAGTGGTTCTTAACCTTTTTTGCTCCATGCCCCACCTCTACACCTCAAAAAATTTGATGCCCCCTTAATATAAAAACAAATTTGCTGTTGCAAAGGTATAATATATAATGTAAATTTTTTTTATTGTAGCATTTTCAAATTGCCCCCCTGTGGGGTGTGTGGCCCATGTTGAGAATCACTGGTCTAAATTAACAAAAAAGTTATCTTCCTAGCCTATTTACAACAGCAAAATTAAAAGTCATAAATATTACACCATTTGAAATCTGCAATGATGTCAATATTCTCTGAAACTTTCAGAGTGGGCACTCTAATCATTTCTGGGTGTCAGTCATATGAAGTAGGTAAGGTTGTGGTAAGTAGCATTGGTAGACCTGAGAAAGATGAATGACTTTATGCATTTTAAGCTTACTAAAGTTACCAATAAATGTATGTACTCATCTAATTGGCTTCTCTTCTGTATGAAAAATGGTCATGTTACTTGCTAAATCTTAAGTTGGGATATCTGCTTAGAGCTTTGGTAGCAGGTTTGAGGTTCTGCTTACTGCAATTTGTGGCTCTATGGAGACTATAATAACCTGGCAATCCATCTTAAGGTTGTTGAGGTGTTCAGGGAATCAATAGAAATTGAAATGGCCATAAGGATGAAACTTACTTCAATTTACAAGTTTCCAGTGTTGTCCTTATGTTGTAAGTTAATCAGCAATGAGCATCATATTCAGCCATGATATTGGTTTTAATGTAGGGGTTTCTCTAGAACTGAAACCCTATATTCTTGTGGCTCACCACATGCTGAAAATTCACCAACTTCAACTTTTCCATTGGAAGTGGGCCAGAAACCATGGATTTTCTGGATCTCTAGAATAGTTTATACAGTCTCAATTCATAACTTAAAGAGCTGTGCCTCATTCTTGTATTCTTGAATTATTGCATAACTGAAATTCTCTTTCTTGGTGTTAGAGCACCCAAACAAATACAGCTGGTGCAGCATCATAATTTATTGATTTTAAAACCTTTGAAGACTTACTTTACCACCAGTCAATTCACTGCTCATCTCATCCCACTTCATTATATGACTCTTTGCAGTGTGATGTTGCCAAAACAAGAAAAATGTCATTCAGCATAGATGACAAAATTTTCTTGGTGGTGTCATAAGTTGCATGAATCATTGCAGTTTTTATATAGACCTAGCAGTAAGACAAGTAGAAGATATTCTTGGACTTTTCTTTATGTTTATCAAGAATTCAGTTTTTTTTTTATAAAGATGACTGCTTCATTGTGGATGTATCCTCTCCTGCTGTGGATTTTCTCTTTTCTGTAGTAACAGACAAATACATGGGTGGGAAAGTTCTTTATTGGGTATGAAAATCTGTACTGATGACTTTGAAAAGTCTCACAAAAACAAAAAAGATAGGATTTGATTTGTCTGGTTTTCTCTATTGTTATGATTTATTCTTGTGATACTCAAACACTTGTGAACCTGTGAATTAACTTATTCCAAAAGTCTACTACTGATGATGATGATCCTATATATGTTGGTAAAATTGAAGGGAAATATTTGTTTGTAAGTGCTGTTATAAATGTCTGTTTTTCTATTCAAGTTTTCTCAACCTTGTGATCATTGAAGATATAAAAGCATAATAGCTTATGAACAACTTAGTACTTAAGTTTCATACTGTGTTACCCAATGAAAGTTTACATGCTTTTAGGTTTGGATATTTCTTGAATGAATTATATCTGTATAATAAACTTTATAGTGAATATGAGTATTTTAATCAACTCTTATATAGAATGCTTTTTCTTTATCGTCTGCTCTAGTAATAGCTTGGTTAGGTAAGATAAGAATTAGTACCCCCATACACACACATGTTTGAGAAACTCTCCACTTATTTGCTTATATAAAATAACTGGTAACGTGATGTGTCATATAACTGCTTGTGCTAGATGCATAGATTAAGTCATACTGGAGTTAATCTGTAAGTCAATGCAAGAATTGTTCAGTCTTCCAAAAGACCATGGTAGTAGGTACTTGTGTAGCAGGAATGTTCTTAACAAAGACCATTTCTGTAGCCATCTGTTCAGAGGCATCAAAATCCACCAACAGTGGCAGCTGTTAACAAATCCATAGAAAAAATTGTAGCTGCCAACCAGTGCTGTTTGATAAGTAGAAAAGAATACTGAACAAGCTTGTTAAAGTGTCTCAATTGAATGTTTCCCTCAGTAGTGGTTAGGATGACTATCCCCAACCATGCCATATGAAGAACATGTCTTATGACAAACAAGAAAGCATGGCTTTAATGGTAGTTAATGCATTTATGCACAGACATTACAGTGAGAAAAGGAGAAAAATGTGGAGTGAACATAACTACCACTAGTGTTCAGGTACAACTGAATGCTATTCACCCTTCTAGTTAATAAAAGGACCCATCCTTAGCCACGAGAACATTTCCAACATTACTATAATAACTCCTCCACCTTGCACCATTAGAACCAAAAAAGTACGACCAAAAGTACCTAGAGCGGTTTTAATTTATTTTTTTATAGACAAGGATTCATCTGTGTGGTATGCAACATTACATAGTTTTTGTTTGTTCTAAAATTGGATTGAAAAACAGTGAAGTGATTTTATTCATTGGTTTTGGCCAGTACACTTATCAGATTTCATCTGATTGATTATGTATGCAATGAATTTGAACTTTGCATTCATCATTGTAATCCTGTAAACCTCTGCTAACATCTGTGAGCCAGTTGCAAATCATAGTCTTTGATGATAGGGCTATAATCAGAGAGAATGCTTTGCAGCATCCTGTTGAGTTCTGCTTTGCCAAACCAGGCTATTATCATGGTGGATAACTTGTCCACCTGATAGTAGATTGAGATCACAGTGAATTACCAGTCAATGTATTGCTTTTATAACCAAATGGAATGAGTAAAAATATTTATAAAATATATATTTGCTTATTTTGGTAATCTTTATGGAATGATCTGATAAAGTTCTGTTGTTCAAATAGGTTTGTAAACTTTATGAAGAACTTCAGCAGTCCAAACATGAATGTAGCTTTTAAAGCAGAGGTAGGTGTGATTAACTTAATCTTTCCCTTTTTGTAATTGTGTATTTAAGTGATAAGTTGAAGTTGTTACTATAATTTACATCAAAATGTTATTCATTAGATTGATGTATTATTATCAAGTCTTTATGTGATAAAAGATATGGGAATTTATTGATTACCTTTGAAGCTCTGTGAAAGAATCTGTCCAGTGGCTCAATGAAAAGCTACCTTATAACACTGAAAATTAAATTTTGATACGCACAGTAGCCAGAGCAGAAATAGACCATTGTGAAGCTTTATGCTTAATAGCTGCAAGGAAAAATTTGTGGTTTTTAATTAATATTTGTAAAATCATCTATAGTTAAAAAAATAAATAGTATAGTTCATATTACAATGAGATACAAATCAAAATCTATTTTATAACTCTTTAGGTATTTCAAACTACTTAAAAAAAAGTGTAGAAGTTTATGTTTATGGGAATTGGTTTTAATTTTTTTATCCCAAAAAATTGTATAAACTAAAGAACATCACAAAAATCATACATATAAATGAATATTAATTATTTTCTGCCTTTTTGTATATTTTTACACTTGTTTTTTTTGTTTAAGCCCAAAGCTACACGATGTTTTGCATGTGCTGTGTCCACCAATTGAACCCCTGATTTTTAGAGTTGTAATCCATAAACTGACCTTCCAGGGGACTTTTTTAAAGTAATATTTTATCATTTTCATGGGTGAATAACTTATTTTTTAAAGTTTTTTAGAGTAATGATTTACAGTTCTATTGTTTTAATGTTTTGAAAACTTAAAGTATTGTTTTATGATTTGCTATATTCATAGTTTGATAATGTTAACTTTCAAGCTTAATCATTTTAATTTCATTGTTTATCTTGCACAGCGATCCATTGAAGATGAATTAGAGAGGGGAAGCCACTCAGACATCATAACAGTAGCCATCAGTTATGTCATCATGTTTGCTTACATTGCTATTGCTTTAGGAGAAGTAAAAAGCTGCAAGTCAATACTGGTTAGTTTTATATCTTGTTATTTTATAGTTTTATACTAGCTAACTCTTTCAGAAGTTATTTTTTCTACTAGATCTGCATTGTTTATATTTTAACAATCTGTGTAGTTGATAGTTTTATACTAGCTCATTCTTTCAGAAATAACTTTCTCTACCAGATCTGTGTTATTTATAGTTTTATATTTTGTGTTATTTATAGTTGTATACTAGCTAGCGTTTTCATAAGTATTCATGCTGTTTATTTTTAATATTTACATCTTAGAAGGTATTCTACATCACAAATAATGTGAACTGAAATTAACCTTAAAAGCTAGTATTAGTCTTGGTAACATGTTAAATTTATAATGTTTTATGTGAACCCTGGAATTAGTATTATTTGTATTTTACATTTTTTCATGAATTTTGTCAATGTATCACTGTATTGTTGATCTTTTTATTGTGCAGGTGGACATATTATGAATCTAACCTTTAATCCTTATCTAGAGGAACAGGTTTTAAAGCTTACAAGACTGTCTCTAAGTAGAAGTATTAGATAAAAGTCAGCAGGTGTTAGAACAGGACTTGAAGTTTAATGTTTTTTATAATTATTGTCTTCTTTTTGAAAGAAAATCTAAACAAAAATTGAATTATCCAAAGTCTTTCCAGTAGTAAATAGATCGAAACTAACTAAATTCTAAGGGAAATTACATTGAAAGGTTGATAAAATGTATAGAGATGTTATTAAAACATGTCAGAAAGAGAAGGATTTACACATAATTCACAATGGTACTTATAAAATGTTTAGAGAATATACATTTATTTCTTAATTATAATTATTACACCAGGTAAGTGATAGTTTTTACATATTGTGGAATTTCTTTTTTTTAAGGTTGATTCTAAGATCTCCCTTGGTCTTGCTGGAGTTGTGATTGTGTTACTGTCAGTCATTTCATCTCTTGGAATTTTTTGTTTTGTGGGAGTTCCTGCTACCCTGATTATTATAGAGGTGATACCTTTCCTTGTTCTGGCTGTGGGTGTTGATAATGTTTTCATTCTAGTCCAAGCATACCAAGTAAGTGTCTTGAATAGTTCATATTGACTTTTAGAGACTTTCTGAGAAGTGCATATTGACTTTTAGGGACTTTCTGAACCTTCTTACACTGAAATGAGTAATTGAATAATGCTTAACCAAAATATTAACTCAAGAGTTAACTGCATGAAATATGTTTTATAGCTAGCAACAGAATAGAAACATGAATACTAATTGTGAATTGAATTTCACTGTTAAAAAATAAAATGAACGATTAGTAATGTTTTAGAGATTTAAGAGTTTATATACGTATGTCAGCACTTTAGTTATTTAAAATTTTGTTAATAAGCACATTCAGAATTTTTAACATTTAAATTTTTGAATCAAGTTAATATATTTTTGGTTTTAATCTAGAGAGATGAAAGATTGCCACATGAGACGATGCAGGAAGAGATTGGCCGTGTAGTGGGAGAAGTGGCCCCCAGTATGATGTTATCTAGTTTGTCTATGTCCAGCTGCTTTTTTATTGGTAGGATGTTTGTTCACACCTTTAAAAAAATTAAATTAAGCTCTTTTAGCAAATATCCAAGGTAATAGTCTATAAGTTAACACACATTTTCACCTTCAAATTTTAGTTTGTAACATTAGATAATCAAGACTAGATTTTAATACAGATGAAAAAAGATAATGAGATGATGTTTGTTGCTGTAATTTTGTTATTCCATCTTTCTTGTGTTTTTCAGGAGCCTTGACAGAAATGCCAGCTGTTAAATTATTTGCTCTCTATGCTGGAGTGGCACTGATAATCAACTTTTTCCTTCAAATGACCTGTTTTCTTGGGCTCTTCATACTTGATGCCAAAAGACAGGAGGTACACTTTAAGTTTCCTTTCTGTGTTTGTGAATGTTAAAAAGAAGAGTATCTATTCTGGTTTAGTTTATAAAAACATTAAAACAGCAGTTTATTCAGTGTTTGCTGATTCAACAAATTAGAAAAATTACATCACATATACACACAGTATGTTCTTTAATTGTTGTAAGAACTGAAACGAGAAACTAAAGATGAGGGTAAATAAAAGCAAACATCTTTTTTGGAACATTTTGCTGAAACTTATCACAGATTATTTTAAAACTGACATCCATGCAGGGGATTTGAAACTGTTTTTAAAAGCATTAACAGAACTGTTACTCTTTCAGTATTATAGTATAGCAGCATCTGGTGACAAATGATGTAAATTAAAGAGAGGTTTTTTTTTTTTTGCTTTTAAAATATTAATGTATTCAGTG